GTAGGTGGTTCTGGAACAAACTTCCACAGATACCAAGGGATGACCATATATGCTTTGGATTAAGTTGTGTGGTAAAATTCTTTTGTACACGGGGAAGTGGATTTAAAAAGAAAACAAGTTAATTCTTGACTTTCCTATTTACAAATGGGAATTTCTGGGGAGTGGTTATCAACTGGAGTTTTAGGGGAATTTGAATGATGACTCACACTTTCAGTCTGGCGGGTTTTCTATTTTACTAGGAACCCTTGACAAAGACTCTCTCTTCTGACCAAACTTTAGTCAGTCTCCTGAGTCCTTTCTGATTAGGCCCAGCCTTGGGCTTCTCTCTCTTCTTGTAGAATCCAGTTAGAGCAAGAACTTTGCCAAGTCAGTCGAGAGAAGGCCCTCATCCTTTGTATCTGATCCTTTTATCTTATATCTGATCACCCTGGCCTGCCTTCAGGAACAATAGTATCAAGTCATTTTAGCCAGAAACCCCTTCTCCTTGATATTTCTTTTGATTTTTCATCCACTGACCCCTCTTCTGCCCCTCTTGCTCCTTGATTATAAATTCCCGCATGTCCTAATTGCACTTGGAGTTGAGTCCAGTCTCTCTCCCCCACTGCAAGACCTATCAACAGGCTGCAGTGCAGTGGCACGATCTCAGCTCACTGCAACCTCTGCCTCTGGGTTCAAGTGATTCTGCTGCCTCAGCCTCCTGAGTAGCTGGGACTACAGGTGTGTGCCACCACGCCCAGCTAATTTTTGCATTTTTAGTAGAGACGGGGTTTCACCATGTTTGCCAGATGGTCTCAGTCTCTTGACGTCATGATCCACCTGCCTTGGCCTCCCATAGTGCTGGGATCACCAGGGTGAGCCACTGCGCCCAGCCCATAAAAAATTTTTTAACATGCTGTTTGGAGACATAGTAATTTTATTCAGCATCTTAGTTGGATATGAAGAACATGGAAGAAAGAAATCAAGTAAGTGGTGAGGAAAAGTTGTTCCCATCTGATTGGGAATCCAGAATTTCAATCACCCCAAGAGATGATAGAAGCTAAAAGAAGTTACAAGATAATTGCATAGGAGGATTACTCTGATTCCTAGGAAACATGGGCCAGGATGCCTTATCTCAGTGGAGGTCATGAACTCCTGTTGCCATAGTCACTGTGAGAAAGAGCTTGGCCTTCTCACCTGTGATTCAGGTAGAATCATTCTGGAAGCATGTAATCAGTCCTCGAAGTTTGTGTCCTGGTTTTGAATCTCTGACATATTCTGGTCCAGATTTTTTTAACCCAGGTCCCTTTGTCTCAATAGTTGGGTAGGTGATATACTTACTCTAACAAGATAAAAAAAAAAGGACAGAGATGATAAAATAAATAAAACCACGGTAATAGTACTACTGAATTAAGTTCAGGATCATCTGTTTGTGTTTTATCTGTGTTTGTTTTTTAACCCCTTTTAATGTTAAAAGGAAGTTGATATACAATGTTAGTCATGTGATTTTAAGTTTAAGGGTGAATAAAAACTAAGATGACCTTGGAAGCAAGAAGGTGGCTAATCATCACTGTAGGCTTACCTTTTGAGAGACCTCCATGGGATGCCAGAATAACTTACTTCTTTTGCTTTTTAAAACTTAATTCCAGAAGACATCATATATGCATGACAAAGATAAAAGCAGAAGTCTGCATCATTTCTGTGTTCTTAATAAATCTTATTGCCTAAAATATTAGGAATGTTGAATTAAATATGTGTATTTTCTTTTAGCACATTAAAGATGCCATTCCATTATCTTCTAGATTTATTGTTTCTGAATTCAGCTGACAATCTTAAAAGGCAATGCATCTTTTCCCCTGGCACCTTTTTCTTTTTTAACTTAATTTTCTTTTTTTGAGATGGAGTCTCAATCTGTTGCCCAGGCTGGAGTGCAATGGTGCGATCTTGGCTCACTGCAACCTCCATCTCCCAGGTTTGAGTGATTCTCCTGCCTTGGCCTTCCAAGTAATAACTGGGATTACAGGCGCCCGCCACCACAGCCAGCTAAGTTTTGTATTTTTAGTAGAGGCGGGGTTTCAATATACTGGTCAAGCTCATCTTGAACTCCTGACTTCAGGTGATCCACCCGCCTCAGCCTCCCAAAGTACTGGGATTATAGGCGTGAGCCACCGCACCTGGCCCTGGCATCTTTTAAAGATTTTATCTTTTTCCTTGGTTTTCAGTGGTTCTACTAATGCACTGGGTATGGCTGATTTTATATTTATCCTGATTAGGAGCCATAGAACTTACAGAATTTGTAATTTGATGTCTTTCATCAGTTTTGCAAAACTTGGAATCTTGGTTATTATCTTTTCAAATACTGTTTCTGCCTCATTCTCTCTTTTTCTGGGAAACAGAATACTGGCAGACCTTTTCATCATGTCCCATGTGTTTCTAATGCTTGTTTCTGTATTTTCCATTCTTTCCTTCTGTTCTTCAGTTTGGATGTTTTCTATTGATGTGCCTGCAGTGCACTAATCGTGTCTTTAGTTTTGTCTAACATCCAGAGCTCACAGCCTCATTTATTATACTTTTTACCTCTAGAGTTTTCATTTGATTTATTTTTATAGATTTCAATACTCAGGTGAAATTTTTCATCTTTTTCCTCTGTTTTCTTGAAAATGGTCATCATAGTTATTTTTAATCAGGCAACTCCAATATCTGACTCATCTGTGGGTCCGTTTCTATTGTCTTTTTCTTTTTTTTTCATTTATCTAGTAACTTTTTAATGAGATGCCAAATATAACTTCTAAAAAGTTGTAGAGGCTTCAAATGTTATCATTCTCTCACGAGGGTTTTCCCTTTCCTCCACAAAACCAAAGAGAAGAGTGGCCAATAACCTTAATCCAATCAAGGACTGTGTGGAGTGAAGGCTGGGCTGAGGTTCTGGTAGGGTTCAAGCTACCTTTGCCCTCCAGTTTCCAACTGGGAACATGGTGTAGGCTCTGCAGCAACCCACTTCCACCACCACCCTAGCAGATCTCAGACTCGAATCTTTGTTTTGCAGTCTATCAAAAACTTCTGCTTTCAGAGGCCTTCCATTTATATTTCAGTTTCTTGCCCCATACAAGCCTTGAATGTAGCGATTGTCCTTGGAATTTCCCCCTATGTCTCTGCAAAAGCTGTGTTGTTTTTCTGTCCCCAGCAGTGGCCTTCTGTGGTCTCAAAGTCTAAATTCTCAGCCTCATCCTTGTATCCAGAATTGGCAAAATCCGTCACACATCAATACAAGCCACTGTGGACATTAGCTCACTTGAAGGTTTCTCATTCTCTGGAATATCAAGTCCCCCCATTCTTGCCTCAGCAGCTTCCACTGCCTTCAAACAGATGTTTTCTGACTTTGCTTTCTGGCTTTTCTAGTTGTTAGCTGGAGTCTTGGTCTACCGCAAGCTTCTCTATCACACCTGACCGTGGACATTCAATTTCCTGATGGTCTACTATGTAACTGTAAAAGTGAAACTATCTTTGTTACTCATTTTAGAGAAAGCCCTCAGAAAAAAATGTCAGAACAGATTCTATTGTCCTTCTACCTTGCTGCAATTGCTACTGAGCAATCAACGGGCTTGCTTCCTGATGTGCCAGAAGCCAACACCATGGCACTGGTTTTTGAGAAAAGAAAGGCTTTGTCATGAGTTGACTGTCAAGGAGACATGAGGAAACCCTCAACTCTGTCTCCTTGAGCTGGGTTTTATAAGCATATGGTAATGACACATGATTTGATTAGATTTTGCGATGAGGTGATGCTGGGATGCTCATCTGATTGGACCCTGCCATGGGGTGATGCCAGGGCTTGATCTGATTGCATTCTGGATCTCACCATGCAGTGCCCATCTCTTAATTCAGTCCCTGCTTTGATTTGAGCACTCAGGTTCCGCCCCGGTTGCATGCTCGGCTCATCTGGGCATCTTCAGCTTACGTGTGAAACCTTCCTTCTGGGAGTCCATGCAACTGAAAAACAACTCACAACTTGGGTATATAAAAGGTGAATCAGATTGGTCTGATGCGGTTATACAGTTATTTAATACCTCTTTGTCAGAAGTCAAAATTTCCACAGATTTAGATTAAAGATCTATTGGCTTTTATTGATTCACGAATCAGGATGGCATCTTCTCTAAAAAATTAGAAGCGGTACTCCAATGAGCTGGGCAGAGGAGGTGGGTTTTATAGGTAGAAAAGGCCTAAAGAAAGCAGAAACAGGGAACGAAAAGCGGATTGGTCACTGCAAGGTTACAGCAGTCCCCTCTTATCCACACACAGGTGGTATGTCCCAAGACCCACAGTAGATGCCTGAAACCTCGGATAGTACTGCACCCATATATATATACACACACACACACTATATATACACACACATATACATATACACACACACACTGCATTTTTCCTATGCATGCATACATACCTGCGATAAAGTTTAATTTGTTAGGCACAGTAAGAGATTAACAGCAATAACTGATAATAAAATAGAAGCGTCACTGTTGAGCACAGCCTTGGGAATGGGGCCTTGAAAGCAGGCAGAGCTCCCTAGGTTTTGTAGTCCCTAGTGGCCGTGGACAGCATGGGGGAGGAAATTCCCGGGAAGCAGCCTAATTTCACCCCAGGGAAGCCCCTCGTGGGATTGTGGAGGGCGGGGTGAAAAGCCGCTGGTTTAGGGAGGGGGTCCAGCCTAGGCTGAGGGATGAGATGTGGGTTGGGACGGTCCCGACCCTTCCCCCAGCCTCTTTCAAGGATTTTGGAGAAACAAAGCCAGGATCCATTTCCTCTTGTTGGCTGGCAAACTGGGCCCGGGCGGGAGGTCCTGGAAGCCTGAGCCTGGGGCGGCGTCGGACACCAACTCCCAGGTCCTCGCCCCACACGGCCACATCCTCGCCCAGCCCCGCCTCCATTTAGCTCCCCCGTCGCGGCTCCGCCCCGCGGTAACCACGCCCACACGACCGTATCCCCGCCCACGACTGGCTTCGCCTTGGCCCCGCCCACAACCCTCCTTCCAAGCGGCGGTGGCGGCGGCGGCGGCGGCGGAGGCGGAGGCAGCAGCGGTGGCGGGGGCGGGGCTGGCCTCACCCGGAATGAAAACAAACGGCGGCCGCCGGCGCATCCGGGCACTCTGTTGGTCGCAGCGGGCGTGGCGTGGCGCAGGTGAGGACCCGGCGGCCGAGTGTCCCCGACCCCAGTCTCAGCAGCGCTGCTCGGCGGCCCGGTTCCCGGTCCGACTGGGCACCTCTCCTGGCGGGGGTGGAGCGGCCGCGGGGCTGGGGTCAGCGGCCATGCGTGAAGCTGGGCCGGGGCCGGGAGCGGCGGGTCGGGCTTCGGGACGCGCTGGCCCTTCGGGGCCCTTTGGTTTGCGCTGAGTTAGGCACAGCTGTGGGGTATTTAAAAGAAAATGTTGAGTATATTGATTTGGGGAGAGAAAGGAATAAATATATCTATAAAAAATTAGCCAAATGCTATACTTGAATCGTAACACTTACTCCGAGTATACCATTTGGGATTTATTTGCAATCAAAGCCAGATTTTCTTTGCTATTTAATGACGAGACACTTGATTTTCTCGAACCTTGACGACCTGATTCTATTACTCTCACCTCCTTCCCTTTTATTTTTAATCAAGAATCTTTCATTTTCCTACATATTTTCGTAAGAAAAAATGAATGTGTCTTGACTAGATATAGTTGTGCTTCAACTGTATATAATGTATAGTTGAAAAACTGTGGCTAAAGGTAGCATTGATTGATTCATTACAAAAGTGAAAGTGAAATTTTTAAAGGATCGTTATAACGTTTCACTTTCTGTTTGGAGCAGGGAGTGGTTTTAATGAGTTTCGTCTTTTCTTAGTTACAATGTGAAACATTGTATGGCATGCATGAAACTTTTTCAGTTCTCATTTCAGTTAAAATTAAAAGCTGACTTATTAAACTTAAAATATGTCACCACTTACTCTGTTGTCTATAACTGAAGTTTCCTAAGTTTCAAGATAGTAGTTTAATTTTTTTTAACATTAAATCCTATTAGGTGTAGACCCTGGACCTGTTGTTTGCTCCCTGGAGTGTCTGACACGCACTAGGTTTGTAATACTCCTTTGTCCTTCTGTCAAGTGGTGGCTTGGATGGCATCTTTTTAAAAATTTTTATTTGTTTATTTTTTTAGTAGAGACGGGGTTTCACCATGTTGAGCAGGCTGGTCTTGAACTCCTGACCTCAGGTGATCCGCTGGCCTCGGCCTCCCAAGTGCTGGGATTACAGGCGTGAGCCACTGCACCCGGCCGTGGATGGCATCTTTGAGTACTGCATCAGCCTTTCAAATTGCTTGGCTCCAGTAACCAACCTGTGAAATTACTGTCCCCCAGTGGGGAAACAGTAGGGTTGCTGTGATATTTTATTCAGAATTTCTGAAGATTCATGAGTAGTATGTAAAGTAGTCTTTTAAGTTATTGGTGTTTGAAAAGCTAACGCTTTAAGTACTAATATGCTTTGCTGTGATAAGCTGTTTGTCAGTGCTTGAAAATGGAGGATTCTCCCATGGGCCACCCAGGTTGCACACATCAACTTCCTTGGCTGTGTTATTCCTTCCTCTCTTTTCTCCTCCCTGTCCTGATTAACGTAATTCTTGTCCCCCGCACTGACATCAAATAGATTTGAACTTTCTTTAAAAAAATATTTGTTTATGAAATACACAAGCTACCAAACTTGATTTCAAAGTTGCGTGAATTGGGTTTGGGGGGATGTGGAATACTGGCCCTCAATAGAAAAAAGAAATTTATCTCGATAATATTAACTCATATTTTTTCCACTCTCTAGAATTGTCTTCCTCATTCAGGGACTAATAACATTTTCTTTACTTATTGCTTGTCTGATTTGGTAAACCTTAAAGCGCTGTGCTACACCTGCCAGCTGCCTCACATCTCAGCTGCCTCACATCTCAGCTGCCTCGCATCTCAACTGCCTCGCATGCATCTTTGAATTGCTGTGCTAGTGTGGGATGAGTAGACAGCTCCATCGTGGCATGTACTTCTCTGGGAGAGAAAAGTTACATACCTGAAACAGGCAAGCAGCAAGGGACTCCACGACAGAAGTTCAGAGTCCAGTATTGTGGGTGGAAGTTACGCTCAATTTGATGCTGCCTAATTTTGTATCTTTGCCTGAGTCATGGTACAAACTCAGGGCCCTGGTTTTCTCAGCTGTAAAATGATCCAATCAGTGTTAGATTTGAATAGTAGATGTGCTGTTAGGCTGTTAATCAGAAAATATGCGACATTTTTCTAGTATTGTAATCTTTTTAATTTAAAAAATTCTGACATAGAAAATATTTATATATTTATTATTATTTTGAGACGGAGTCTCACTCTGTTGCCCAGGCTGGAGTGCAGTGGTGCCATCTCGGCTCACTACAACCTCTGCCTCCTGGATTCAAGCGATTCTCCTGCCTCAGCCTCCTGAGTAGCTGGGTTTACAGGTGCCTGCCACCACGCCCGGCTAATTGTTCATTTTTTGTTTGTTTGTTTGTTTTAGTAGAGATGGGATTTCACCATGTTGGCCAGGCTGATCTCGAACTCCTGATCTCAACTCCTGAACTCAGCCTCCAAAAGTGCTGGGATTACAGGCCTGAGCTACCACGCCCACCCGAAAATATTTATTATTGATAGTTTACAGTTCAAGCAAGCTTTTCTTTATATTTAACTACCAGGATGGTTGGCCTTTTGTTTTATGTGAAACTAGCCAAAGTATGAGAGAATTTATAAGCTCACACCTGTAATCCCAGCATTTTGAGAGACCAAGGTGGTGGATCACTTGAGGTCAGGAATTCGAGACCAGCCTGGCCAACATGGCGAAATCCCATCTCTACTAAAAATATGAAAATTAGCTGGGTGGGCGTGGTAGTGCACACCTGTAATCCCAGTGACTAGGGAGGCTGATGCAGGAGAATGGCTTGAACCCAGGGGGCAGAGGTTGCAGTGAGCCGACATCACACCACTGCACTCGAGTCTGGGCAACAGAGCGAGACTCTGTCTCAAAAAAAAAGAAAAAAGTTCACCACTCGAGGGATTTATCTTTCTCGTATTTTCTCTTTTCTCTTAGATAAGAGAATAGCGGATTAAGAAATAGCAAACGTGTAATAATCCTTGCTACATATTGGCGACTTTGAAATACATGTTTTATGTATGTAATACATATAATTGAACATATGTTTCCATGTATATTTTTAGAGAAGTCTGGAGCTTGTTTAAACCATAGTAATTTATATTTAATGAGAGAAGAAGGGAGCTTTGCTTACCCAACAAAACACCTTAACATGTAGGTAAGTTATTAACACTTTAAAATGCAGTGTGGAGTTTTATTATTGTATTGTTTTGCTTTCAGGGATGGCACAAAAGAAATACCTTCAAGCAAAATTGACCCAGTTTTTAAGGGAAGACAGGATTCAGCTTTGGAAACCTCCATATACAGATGAAAATAAAAAAGTTGGTTTGGCATTAAAGGTATTTTTCTTTTAAGACATCAATAATTGGCAGCATTATAAATCTCCTTGGTAAATAAGATTCTGAATTGTCAGGCATGACCATATAAACTTTTGGCATAACCAAAAGCATTAGTGGTGAGCAGGTACCCACTTTTTACTAGGAATTGACAACCTTATTTTTGTTTACTAATATTTTATTCACATAAGGATGTTATCTAATTTTTCAGGCATGTATTTTTAATACCATCACAGAATTACATAACATTATTATCTGGAACTCATTTTGACCCATTAGTGCAACAGTATTGGTGCCAGTAAGTTACTGCATTGTGTGTTCAGAGTGACAGTGTCTTGGCTCATTCTCGGTCGTCCTTGCTATCATCTGCTATAAAACAATTGCTCCTTTCCACCAGTTTTCTTGATGCTCTCACTGTCAGTGTTCATTTTTCCAAAATAGGTTTTTTTCTAACAGTTGTATCTCAGTTTTTCATGGCATCATCAGAAATGGTATTGTATGTAAGTGATGTTTCTAGAAACTGAAGTGTGCTTGTTTTTCTAAGCAGATAAACAGTACTCACTTTTGCCAGAAATTATCATATTGGAATTTCCTAGCATGTACTTCTCTGCTATCATTTGGAGTATCCTGAACATGATGTAACATTTATCAGGGACTAGGGATTGTCATCAGGCATTGAATTGCTCTGTGTTGTGACATAATGATGTGCTTGGGAGGTGACAAACTGTATTAGGGTCCTAGTTTTTCTGTTTCTTCTGTTCCAGGCAGGCCTCACTTTTTCTTTGCAACCCACCTTCCGACCTTGCTTCTGAATTTACTTGTTATAGTCTCTTGGTTTAGAAACTAGGTGTGGCATAAAGGAAAGATATTTGTCCCTGGTTCCTGGCAGAGCCAAAACTCTTGGGATTTCCTGAGTGGTAAGCATGATGGGGACAACCTTTGTTCTAATGAGGCTTGGTTTCCCCTAGATAGCTTCAGGATGGGGCTGGTCACCGAAAGTACCAAGCTGTGATTGGACACTTGAAACTTTCCACCCTCCCCTCCAACCTCTGGGAAGGGGAAATTGAGCTGATGACTAATACTAATGGTCAGTGATTTAATCAGGCCTGCATAATGAAACTTCCATACAAACCCCTAAATGACAGATTTTGGGCAGCTTCCAAATTGGTGAACACATCCACATGTTGAGATGCACACCCCCAAGTCCATGGGACAGAGGCTTCTATGCTCAGGGCCCTTCCAGATCTTGCTTTAGTACCTCTTCATATGAATAGTCATTTGTGTCCTTTGTAATGAACTATATTTGTAAGTGTACCATTGTCTGGAGTTCTGTGAGTTGTTCTAGCAAATCATGGAATCTGAAGGGGGGTGCTTGTGTGAACCCTTGACTTTGTAGCTAAGGCAGACAAAAGTATGGATAACCTGGGGACCAGATCCTTGGTAACTGGTATCTGAAGTTAGGGCTTTTTTGTAGAGTGAGCCCTTAAACCTGTGGAGTCTAACGCTAACTCTGGGTAGTTAGTGTCAGAATTGAATCATAGGACTTCCAGTTGGTGTCAGAGTTGGCTGGTGACAGGAGGAAGAAAGAAATCCTCACTAGTTAGGTTTTCTAGAAAATTATAGAAAGTTTTTTTTGAAGTACTTATAATATATATTCTAGATTTTAAAAAGTATGTATATAAATACAAAAATATAAAGAATGTATTTCTAAAATACGTCAAATGTCATTAACATAGGTATATTCTTCCTCTTTTCCTACGTAACTGTTAAAAAACAGTATTGCTGGACCCAGTGGCACATGCCTGTAGTCCCAGCTACTCAGGAGGCTAAGGCAGGAGGATCACTTGAACCCAGGAGCTGGAGACTGTAGTATGCTGTGGTCCCACCTGTGAATAGCCACTGCACTCCAGCGTGGGCAACATAGTGAGACCCCGTCTCTAAAAGAAAAAAAAGTATATATAGGTTTATGTTACTTAAAAAATTTTTTTTCTTTTTTTCTTTTTCTTTTTTCAAGACAAGGTCTTTGTCTGTTGCCCAGGCTGGAGTGCAATGGCATGGGCATAGTTTACTGCAGCCTCCGACTCCTGGGCTCAAGTGATTCTGCTCCCCCAGCCTTGGGAGTAGCTGGGACTACAGGTGCATGCCAGCACGCCTGGCTAATATATTTTTATTTTTTGTAGAGACGGGGTCTCACTTTATTGCCCAGGTTGGTCCTGAACTCCTGGGCTTGATAAATCCTCTCGCCTTGCCTTCCAAAGTGCTGGGATGACAGGCATGAGCCACCACACCCAACCTATACTCCTATCTATAAAGTTTTCCAACTTCACATATATAGTGAACATCTCTTCTGCCATAAATTTATGCTTACACCATAATTTTTACATACTGTATGGTATTACATTATGAATTTAATGAAACCTTGATCTTTGGGGTTTTTTGAAGTGTTTACTGTTTTATGAGATGTTTAATGAAACATTGAACCTCAAATGCAAATACCGATTGAGAGGAGTATCCCATATCTGAATTATTTGGGACTGAAAGTGTTTTGGATTTTGGAATGTTTGCTTTATACCTACTAGTCAGGCATCCTAATCTGAAAATTCAAAATTCAAAATACTTCCGCGTGCATTTCCTTTGAGCATCTCCAGATGTTGAATTTTGGCGATTTCAGATTTTTGGATTAGAGATATTCATCTGGATTCTTTTGGGGAGGAACCATAATGACTTTGCTCTCAGTAGTAACTGGTTCTCATCGTTTCCTGAGCCCTTTCAATCTTCTTTTTTTTCTCAATTCTAAAGCTCTCCCTGACAAGTAGTTTTACAACTAGTACCCATGATTCACAGTTTTTCATTAAGAAAATTGTTTAAGTTCAACTTGATTTGTTCTCACAAGTTTGAAAAATTGGAATATTTTCTGGTTTTCTTTTCGTTTTCCCCTCTAGTGGAGTTGAACAGTTCACTATACTTTTTAAATAGATTGCAGTCACATAAGTTATAGCCCACCCTTTTCTTCCCCTTAGAAGATTCTCAATTATTTTTACTTTTTCTGTTGAGCCTTTTTTTTTTTTTTTTTTTTTTGAGATGGAGTCTTGCTGTGTCGCCCAGGCTGGAGTGCAATGGCGCAGTTTTGGCTCACCGCAGCCTCTGCCTCCTGGGTTCAAGCGATTCTCCTGCCCCAGCCTCCAGAGTAGCTGGGTCTACAGGCACACGCCACCATGCCCAGCTAATTTTTGTATTTTAGTAGTTATGGGGTTTCACCATGTTGGCCAGGCTGGTCCCAAACTCATGACCTCAAGGTATCCACCTGCCTTGGCCTCCCAAAGTGCTGGGATTACAGGCACGAGCCACCACGCCCAGTCTCAAATAAATGTTTTCACTTTTTCCTGGACTCTCTAAACTCCACATCTCTCAAGATGTCAAGCCACAGCGTGGACTGCAGTGTAACGGGGTGACCTCCACTCATCAGAGTTGATGGCCTTAGAGTCTTTCATGCCCTTTTCTGTATTTTGCCTTTTTGTTTTTTAAGTCAGTATTGCATTTTCTGATTTTTCTTGATAGGACCTTGCTAAGAAGTATTCTGACAAACTAGAATGCTGTGAAAATGAAGTAGAAAAGATAATAGAAGAAATACGTTGCAAGGCAATTGAGCGTGGAACAGGAAATGAAAATTATAGAACAACAGGAATTGCTACAATCGAGGTGTTTTTACCACCAAGACTAAAAAAAGTGAGTAATTTCCCTAAATTTGAGTATGCACTAATGTCTGGTTAGTGATGTGATCAAATAAATTGTTGTTTTTTGGAAGGTTACAATCCAAAGTTAGAATTCTTTTAAGTGACTTTACATATTGAACAATTTATCAACTTAAAAGTTAATGTTACAGATTCTTAAACTGGAACATTCCCAAGGTAGGCTTTTAGAGACCCTCTTGGGCCTCTAAAACGCCACAGAGCTGTATGTCACGTTCTGATCCTTTCTAGAGTGCGAATGTTGAGAAGTAATGGGGAATAAAGGACTCCCAAGTTTCCTAGATGCCTGTGCAGGAGGACACAGCACAGAAGGCTTCATCCTTTTCCTGTTCCAGTAGAGGTCAGAGGGCAGTCCGCCGAGTGCTCAAGCAGGGCCGAGGAGATCTGGGTGGGGTCACCTCCTCTCATTGCCATGGCCAGGTAGTTTGCATCTACAAATGTCACTGTGGCAAGGCACCCAGAGTCTCTTGGGACTGATCAGTGCCAGCACTCTCAGAAGAAATAAGAGTATAGGGTCCAGCCCTACTGGGTCTGTGGGTTTTTCTCCTCATGTGTGGAGACAACAGATCGTAGAAATAAAGACACAAGACAAAGAGATAGAAGAAAAGACAGCTGGGCCTGGGGGACCACTACCACCTAGACGCGGAGACCGGTAGTGGCCCCGAATGCCTGGCTGTGCTGTTATTTATTGGATACAAGGCAAAAGGGGCAGGGTAAGCACTGTGGGTCATCTCCAGTGATTGATAAGGTCACGGGAGTCACGTGTCCACCGGACAAGGGGCCTTTCCCTTTTAGGTAGCCGAGGCGGAGAGAGAGAGGACAGCTTACGTCATTATTTCTTCTATGCTCTTCTCAGAAAGATCAAAGATGTTAATACTTTCACTAATTCTGCTATTGCTATCTGAAGGCGGAGCCAGATGTACAGAGCAGAACATGAAAGTGAAACAGGAGTGTGACCACTGAAGCACAGCATCACAGGATGGCTGTGGGCGGGCCTGACTGATGTCAGGCCTTCCACAAGAGGTGGTGGAGCAGAGTCTTCTCTAACTCCTCCAGGGAAAGGCTCCCTTTCCCGATCAGCTAAGTAACGGGTGCCTTCCCAGGCACTGGCGCTACCGCTAGACCAAGGTCTGCTAAGTAACAGGGGCCTTCCCAGGCACTGGCGTTACCGCTCGACCAGGGAGCCCTCTAGTAGCCCTGTCCAGGCATAACAGAGGGCTCACACTCCGGTCTTCTGGTCACTTCTCACTGTGTCCCTTCAGCTCCTATCTCTGTATGGCCTGGTTTTTCCTGGGTTATAATTGTAGAGCAAAGATTATTATAATACTGAAATAAAGAGTAATACTACAAACTAATAATATATATAATCATATCTATAATCTATTTCTAGTATAACTATTCTTATTCTATATATTTTCTTTATTATACTGGAACAGCTTGTGCCCTCGGTCTCTTGCCTGGGCACCTGAGTGGCTTGCCGCCCACATATCTATTAATATGTAAAACCTCATACATGAATGGTCATAGCAACACTATTCAGTAGCTGAGAGATGGAAATAGTCCAAATGTCCATCAACAGATGAAGGGATAGATAAATGTGGTCTATTCATATGACAGAAAACTATTCACAATGCAAAGGAATTAAGTGCTGATGCGTCCATAGCGTGGGTGCACCTGAAAACATGATACTTAGGGAAGAAGCCAGACACAAAAGACCACGTACTGCATGATCCCATTTATAGGAAATGTCCAGAACAGGCAAATCGGTAGCAGCAGAAAATAGATGAGTGGTTGCTAAGGGCTGGGGGGCAAAGGGGAGTGAATGGGGTGCAGCCCAGGTGTTTCTCTGAGGGATGGTGGAAATGTTCTTAAATGTTAAAGACGTCCAGCCTTGTGGGAGAGGCCCCTCTGAGTAGCCTTGCCTGGTGGTGCCACGCTGCCGCCCCCTTGAGGATGTGCAGGTCACAGGGTCAGCCTGTGCTGGGTTATGTTCAGTAGACTTCTAGGCAGGCAGCGTTTTAGTTCTTAACGGTGAGCTAAGTTTATATCCTCTGCCGTCAGCTTTTCTGATTTCACAGGGTAATCTCTCCAAAGTGTGTTAAATTCAAGTACACTTTACTTTATTTGTCTTACTTTTAACAGGATAGGAAAAACTTGTTGGAGACCCGATTGCTCATCACTGGCAGAGAACTGAGGTCCAAGTGAGTATCTGTGCACTCTGTGTCCTAGGTGCTCTGGGCCTTTTTATATTGGCTCATTTGATCCTCTGTGAGCGTCCTCTTAAGATAGGTAGGGCAGGTATTATCCCCATTTTATAGAAGAGGAAATTGAGGCTTTGAGGTTGAAGGACTTATTAGAGCTGATACTGGTAGGTAAGTGGCAAAGTGAGGGCTCAAGACTTGCAAACACTATTTCCTGGTGTAACTTCCGAGCAGGTGGGAACTCCATGCCCATCACATGGTAGGCACTGGGTGTATGTTTGAAGGAGTGAGTGAGTGATATAAACAGGAGACACCTGGTACTCACTAGCTCATCAGTTTTGAATTATTATTTTTTTCCCTAATACACCAGTAGCTTGCTATGACCTTCAGCATGGTGTTTTATCTGATTTCAGGCTGTTGGCCCATCTGTAAAACACACAAACATACACACACACACACTTGTCTGCCACATACTAGTGAAATCCTACCTTTGAGATCTGGTGGGTTATTTCATCTCCTTATATGTTTTAAAATGGTGTTGGGAGCACCTCCAGGGCTAGCTAGCGGGTGTATTTCTTCAGCTGATTTTTCTCATTTCCTTCTTTGGTCTACATCAGGACTGTTAGGGGTGGATTCAGGAAATGACATTCAACACACATGCGTAGAAGATCCTGTGGCTCAGCCCCCGTTACGGGTTCCTCCAAGGAGACCACAGAAGGTATAGGGGGTGGATTTTCTCTGGATGTGCAACTAGGGCTTGCTGTTCACATGGATCTACGGCATTGTGGTCTCCACCGCCTGAGGAAACAAGTAGTAAAAGAGAGTTTAAAAAGGACCTTGTCTCCTACAGTTTCAAATAGCCATCTAGTAAGATGGCTTTATTGTGATGTTTGTGAGTCAGCCAGTTGAAATCCTGGGTGTTTCTGATAAAATGCATAAAATAGCTATCATGATTAAAGCCTTCTTTTAAAAAATACTTATTTATTTTTTAGAGATGGGATCTTGCTCTGTCACCCAAGCTGAAGCACAGTGGCATGAATATGGCTCACTGCAACCTCAAACTCGGGTTCAAGCAATCCTCCTACCCAAGCCTCTCAAGCAGCTAGGGCCACAGGCACGGGCTACCAGGCCTGGCTAATTTTAAAAAATTGTTTGTAGAGATAGGATCTCTCTGTTGCCCAAGCTGGTCTTGAATTCCTTCCTGGCCTCAAGCCATCCTCCCACCTTGGCCTCCCAGGGTGTTGGGATTACAGGTGTGAGCCACTGGGCCTGGCTAAAGTCTCTTCAATGGATAATAAATAACAATTTTGTTTTCACTGGTTTTTGTTTTACAGAATAGCTGAAACCTTTGGATTTCAAGAAAATTATATCAAAATTGTCATAAATAAGAAGCAACTACAACTAGGTATGTATGGCACAGTATGCATAAGTTTTCAATGAACCAAATATAGAAATAATGACTTCCCTTTTTTTCTCACTGGCTTTTCAAAAATTTGTAGCTTTATTCCAATTATAATCCAAAACTGATTTAGAAGTTTACTAAAATAAAAATGTAAAGCAGAAAATAGCTTTTCCAAGAAATATTTATTGTCTGCTCTATGATAGTGGGAAGAAAGACACTCATTACAGCTTAGATAAAATGTTATAGAATGGAACATGAGGTGTGCTGAGTGTAAGATGCCAGTTCCAGCAAATTCTTCTTGAGCGAGAAGAGCGAAGGCTCTGTGAAGACAGTGGGGAGACCATGGTGGCGTGCGTTCCAGACGGAAAGCCTTGTGTCAGAGCACTGTGGTGTGAATTTGAGGAACTGAGGAAGGTCCAGCGTGGCTGTGTGTGGAGAGTGAGGGGAGGCGAGTGCTTTTTAAGGATGGAGGGGCAGGCAGAGGCCACACTGAATACCCAGGAAACATTTGGCGTTGTCTGGAGACATTTTTGGTGGTTATAACTTGGTGACGGGGGAGGTTGTGCTGCTGTCATTTAGTGGGTGGAGGCTAGGGATGCTGCTGAACGTGCAATGCCCGGAACAGGCCCCACAACACAGACTTGCCCAGCCCAACATGTCAGTAGCACAGCTGCTGGGAAACGAGAAGCTAGATGACCTTACTCAGTGTTAGTACATTTCTCCTAAGAGCAATGGAAAGACATCTGTGCTGCGGAGTGATACACAATTCTGTGTGTGTTTTAGAAAGGTCACGTAGTAGAGGAATGTATTTGAAGGTGGCATGAGTTGACTTGAGACCAGTTAGCTATTGCAGCAATCCATACAAGCCCTGTAGCCCATAGGTTTTCAGTGCGTTCCTGTGGCCTCGAGAATGAAGTTCACATTTCTTAGCTTGATCTAAGCCAGCCCTTCACAGCTTACCCAGCCTTCCTTTCCAGCGTCCTCTCTAGCAGTTTCCCATTGTCTATTTTAGATGTCATGGATATCTTTTCACTGTTGCCTCATCCCTCTGTTAATTCTGTTTGTGGCATCCTTCATTGGACAGAAATCCTTGATTTTGGTGTCATCAAACCCATTGCCTATGGTTTGTGTTTTGCTGAAGTCCTTTCCCTAACCCCAGGGCCACAAGGAGAGTCTACATTTTCTTGAATATTAGCTTAATCTAGAAGAGGTCCTCAGTCTGTCCAGAGTCCCCCTTTCTATATAAAGTCTCAGGGTTCCTTTATTTTTCTTCCTATATAATTCATTAAATAGTCTGTCTTTTCCCCAGTGATTGGTGGTGACCCTTTTTGGGGGGCCCTGTTTCTATACTTTCTGTTCTTCCTAGTCACCTGTGGTTTTTTTTTTTTTTTTTATTACTGTGGCTTTGTTGTAGTCTTAAAATCTGGTGACCTCCTCCAACCCTTGCCTTTTTTTTTTTTTTTTAAATCAAGATGGCTTAACCACTGATGGACCTTTATTTTATATATTAATGTTAGAAAGGTTGCCATATTTCTCAAAAGACAATCCAGCTACAGTTTTCCAGAAATGTGTTTACATTTGTGTTTTTAGTTCACAATATTATTTTGTTATTTTAAAATCTGTTTGCATCTATGTTTACCCTTTTTTATTTTGTTTATTTGCATCTTTGACATAATTTTTGTTAGATTTGTGTATTTGGCTAATTTATTCATGGAGCCAACTTTTGATTTTGTTACTGTTTTCTTTCATTCTGTTTCATTGATTTCTGCCCTTTATTTCCAATTTATGTATGAGAAAACTGAGTCCTAGAAGACAGGTAGTTTATTCAGGGCCACAGAGTTAAAACAGTAGATGGAGCCCATGGTCTTTGCTTTTATTTATTTATTTAGAGATAGGGTCTCTGTCTGTCACCCAGGCTGGAGTGTGCTGGTGCGATTGCAGCTCACTGCAGCCTCCGCCTCCCAGGTGCAAGCAATCCTCCCACCTCAGCTTCCCACTGAGTAGCCAGGACCACAGGTGCGCACCACCATGCCAGGCTAATGTTTTATTTTCTGTGGAGATGGGGTCCACGTGTTGCCCAGGCTGGTCTTGAACTCCTGGGCTCAAGCGATCCACCTGCCTCAGCCTGCCAAAGTACTGAGGTTACAGGTGTGAACCGCCACGACCTGCTGGTCTTTGCTTTTAACCATGACAGCAGGCTGCAGTACAGCTTCCTGTTTGTAGCTGTGAATTGGCTTTGTTATTTTTCCAACTAGAAGGTAGTGTTATACTTTCTCATTTTCCGTTGATACTGTCTAGCACAGTGTTCTCCCTGTAGTAGATTATCAAATATTTGTTGCTTTGATCTGGTCTTAGGCTGAGAATAAAGATGATTAGAAATGATGAATTTAGTTGATTCTATTGTTGCTAGCTGATTTTAACCACTGCTTAACAGTGACATACTTACAAGCAAAGGTAGGCATATTTTTGCCAATTATGTGGTGTGATGGTATGCAGGATTAAGAATTCCATTTTGCAGGAGCGAGGGCTGATGTCTGTAACCCAGCACTTTGTGAGGCTGAGGTGGGAGGATCGCTTGAGCCCAGGAGTCCAAGACAAGCCTGGGCAACATAGTGAGACCTCATCACTGCAAAAAATACAAAAATTAGCTGGATGTGGCCGGGAGCGGTGGCTCATGCCTGTAATCCCAGCACTTTGGGAGGCCAAGGCGGGCAGATCACAAGGTCAGGAGATCGAGACCATGGTGAAACCCCGTCTCTACTAAAAATACAAAAAATGAGCTGGGCATGGTGGCGGGCGCCTGTAATCCCAGCTACTCAGGAGGCTGAGGCAGGAGAATGGCGTGAACCCGGGAGGTGGAGCTTGCAGTGAGCCGAGATCGCGCCACTGCACTCCAGCCTGGGGCACAGAGCGAGACTCAGTCTCAAAAAAAAAAAAAAAAATTAGCTGGATGTGGTGGCATGGGCCTGTAGTCCCAGCTCCTCGGGAGGCTGAGGTGGGAGACTTGCTTGAGCCCAGGAGATGAAGGTTGCGGGGAGCCATGATCGTGTCACTGCACTCCAGCCTGGGTGACAGAGTGAGACCTTGTGTCAAAAATAAAAACAATTCTATTTAACATAGAAAATGGACTGTTACCTGGTGAGCTTAATGGCTTTTTAAAGTAATAGGCGATTCTGATTTTTATAGGGAAAACCCTTGAAGAACAAGGTGTGGCTCACAATGTGAAAGCGATGGTGCTTGAACTCAAACAGTCTGAAGAGGATGTGCGGAAAAACTTCCAGTTAGAGGAAGAGGAACAAAACGAGGCTGAACTCAAAGAAAAACAAATTCAGAGGACCAAGAGAGGACTAGAAATACTGGCACAGAGAGGTACCCAGAGCTCTGGGCTTGTCACCCACTCAGACGCTTAGGGGCAGCACTGAATCACACACGTGGGGGATCACGGCTCTCCCTGAGTTTCACCTCAACAGTCTGACATTTTTAAGGTTGTTATCCTCACAGCTGTTTAACATTGAGTTAATGGAGGTCCTTTTGGTTTTGTTACAGCAGCTGAGACGGTGGTGGATCCAGAAATGACACCGTACTTAGACATAGCTAACCAGACAGGCAGATCAATCAGAATTCCCGCATCAGAAAGAAAAGTAAGTACTCTGAGAATGTGTGGCCTGTCCTTAGATTTGTTGTCAGGACAGGGGTGGTTTTTTAGTTACTTCATGTTGGAAGTGTTGTAAAGGGTTGGAAACAGTGCTCCATCTCCAGCCTTGTAAACAGCAATGTCACCACGTGGTGAGCACTGGCATCCAGTGGGCCTCACCCGGTGCTTTTCAGTGCATTAGTACAAAATGTCATACCTCACCATCCTGGAGCAGTGACTGTCAACATACCTGAGGACACGACCCACTGCCTTCAGTGCACACGGCCTCCTGTGGCAGTACTTTTTGTTTAGTTTATTTTACTAGAGGACCATGTGCCCTAAGGGATGGATCAGAGTAGGGGCAAGGAAACTGTGGTTTGGGAAAAGTCCACAGGTGATTCTGACATCTCTCCCCTGTTTCCTCATACCCTTTCCGTGTTCTATAATTTGGAATAGGTAAGCAGGGGTTTAATCTTAAACATATCTGTGGGATTTTCGTTTACTTTATTTGGTTTTTGAAAAGTAATATGCTTTTAATATAATTTGTTTTATTATATTTTAAAGTGATGTTTTTTAAATTCATATTTTTTCCTAGGCCCTTATGTTAGCTATGGGATATCATGAGAAGGGCAGAGCTTTCCTGAAAAGAAAAGAATATGGAATAGCCTTGCCATGTCTGTTGGACGCTGACAAATATTTCTGGTAGGCGCTTTTGTACTTGGTGAATACCAGCTTTAAGGAAGATGGCCCAGACTATACAGAGCACCCTGCCATGCCCTTGAGACTGCAGACTTTCATCTATGACAGTGGTTAATGTAAAAGAGTAGTTATGGTGTAGACCGGTGAATTTCTTCTTCCCTTTGTATTTCTAATTGACCTTTCCTCCCTGTAAAGAAAAGAATTTTCAAGCAGGTAGGATATCCTCTCTTCTTTTGTACATGTGCTGTGTTGCTAGTTGGAACTTTCCATTATAAAGTTTCCGGTCAGCTTGTCATCTAATGGTTTCGAGGTAGTATTGATGATTATTCCTCAAATCCATTGTTTAAGAGCTGTATGATGGTGATATTATTCCTTCTGCACTTATTATTATTTTTTTTGAGATACAGTCTCACTCTGTCACCCAGGCTGGAGTGCAGTGGCACCATCTCAGCTCACTGCAACCTCCATCTCCTGGGCTGGAGTGATCCTCCCACCTCAGCCTCCCAAGTAGCTGGGATCACAGGTGCATATCACCATGCCCAGATAATTTTTTTGTATTTGTTGTAGAGATGAGATTTCACTATATTGCCCAGGTTAGTCTCAAACTCCTGGGCTCAAGTGATCCACCCACCACAGCCTCTCAAAGTGCTGGTATTACAGGTGTGAGCCACTGTGTCTGCCTTTTTTTTATTATTATTATAGAGATGGGGTCTCCCTGTGTTGCTCAGGCTGGTCTTGGACTCCTGGACTCATGTGATCCACCCGCCTTGGTCTCCCAAAGTGCTGGGATTACAGGTGTGAGCCACTGCACCTGGCCTCCCTTCTGCATTTATTGTTGGAATTCTGAAAAAATTTTTTTTTGCTCATCAGTTATTTTATATGTGGAGGTACAATTTGTATAGGAAAGATAGAATAAAATACTTTGTTCCTTTCTCCTTATTTTCTTGTTTTCAAAATAAATGAGTTCCTTCACTATCACCCTCCAAAGGTGACCAAAGAGGTTTCTTTTTCTTTTCATTTTCTTAAGTGTCATTATTACCTCATGGATTTAAAACATTTGATATGTTTCAAACTTCAGTGCTTAAATTGGTCATCGCTGGCTGGCAGGCAGCCCCTGTGGTTTTTTGACTCAACCCTGCTAGTCTTTGCAGTCTCTGATTTCAGGAATCCAAAGATACTCCAGGCTCATCTTGGGCATTTAATGCCCCAGACCAGGAATCAGCAATTTCCCAAGGAGTCCTGGTTCCTCTTCATGGGAAATGGTACTAAGAGACTGTGATGCAGACATATTCAACATTTGAAAAGTAGACTTGATTTTTTGAAAATGGTCAAAAGTTAACAAATTTAGTGTTAACTTCTTTTCTGTTTTGGTGCATTCCCAAGATAATACTGTATACTCCCAGAAGATGAATGCAAATATTTATAGTTTTCCATTGGTCAGTGCCTTTGGGTTCTAAGTGAACAAGTCCCAACTTTAACGTACACAAAGAAGGGATTGGGAGGGGAGGGGCCGGGCTGGGAATAGTGAGAATGAGGGCTGGTGGGTGCCTCTGCGGTCTCTGCCTGTTTCTGAAAGGATGTTAGTTTCATTCTCTTCTGCAAACAGTGCAGAGTAAACAGGCTGTAAATTAGGTCCTAAAAATTTAAGTAAAATTTTCATTCCCTTCCATAGTTGTTTCTCAGTTTTTATTATGGAAAATTTCAAATAGACATAAAAATAAAAATTAGTATAATGAGCTTCCATATATACTCATAATCGAGCTTCAGCAGTTATAAAGACATGGTTGACCTTCATACATCTGTGTGAGCCTCTCTCAATCTTTTTACCCTGGACAAATCCTTGAAATAATTTTTAGGTCTCAGGGAACCACTGAATAAAAATTTTGCGACATCTTCAGTTCGTGGTACATTAACATGTTCGGTAAGTAGTAGATATAATAATGAAATAATAATTGTCAATGTCTTTCTAAGTAGAGAAAGTTACTTGTTTTCTGGGCATCTGTTTATCCTGGCCAGCTCGTTAGCATATTTTTTGTGTGTGTGATTTCTCCCTTTTCATAAAGGAAATCAGCAGTAATGCAAGCCAAATAGAATGCAGATGGAGGAAACTCCAGTTTTTCCACTTCCTTTTCCATGTGATTTTTTCCCCCTAACTTCTCCAAGTAAGCTAGAAGTTCTGTCACAACTTCCTACCGTATGTCTTGGAGTATGGTTTGTAGTATGACCAATAATAGTTTCTTTCCCCAAATAGTATGAAACAGTGACTTCCTGGCAGTGCAGAATGGTGACCCTGGGGTGGGGAAGCATGAGGGGAGCTCAGTGCCTGGAGAAGTTTCAGGCTACGGGGCAGGGAGGGCGGCAAACCCAGGCAGAGTCTTGTGCTCCCTGGAGTTAAGGAGATGGAGCTGGGCGTGCAGGAGGCCAAGGAGGTGAGAGGAGCGAGCTGCCGGAGGGACGGTCAGCTTCAGAGGAGCCTTTGAGTCTTCTGCTCAGCGATGATCAGCACGTGTGTGAGGCAACCACCCGGGGCTGGGCAAGGTACCACATGAAAGAAGCAGGGAATCATCCCCAGAGTTCCTAGAAGGCCAGGAATAGTTCATATTCCCACCAGCCAGAGTGGAGAATTTGGTAGTCACAGGGCGTCAAATGGAATCTTCAGAAGGGTGTTGCCTCAGTACTAGGGCATAATTTGGTCCCACTTAACAAAGCTTAAAAGCTAGTTCTGAACAGTACCCTTAACTTACCGTTTTGAAGTAAGTGCATCCCTAACAAACCGCAATAATTTAGCAACTCAAAAATATCAAGCATCCACTGAAAAATTAGTAGGCATGCAAAGAAACAAGCAAATGCTAGCTATAACAAGCAGAAAAATCAGTCAGTAGCAACAGATCCAGAAGTGACACAGAAGACAGAATTAGTAGACAAGGACATTAAAACAGTGACTGTAATCCATATGCTCAAGAAGGCAGAGGAACAATTGAACATGTCAGATAAAGACATGGGAGACGTTCAGAAGACCCAAACCAGAATGTAAGAGATGAAAAGTACAACACATAAGATGAAAAGTACATTAGATGGGATGAACTGCAAAATAGCCACTATGGAAGAGAAGATTAGTAAATGTTAAGTAAGGCAATAGAAACTGAGAAAACAGAAAAGACTGAAAAAAAGAAAAAATGAACAGAGCATCTGCAAGCTGTGGAACAATTTCAGGCAGCCTAAAATGCATGTAATTGGAGTCCCTGGAAAGGGAGGCATGTGCGACAGAAAAAATACTTGAAGAAAAAAATGGCCATAATTTTTCCCAGTTTGATGAAAACTATAAACCC